CCCCTCCTGTACTCCCTGTTCACCAACGACTGCGTGGCCACGCATGACTCCATCACCATCATTCAGTTAGCTGACGACACAACGGTGGTTGGCCTGATCAACGACGACGATGAGACAGCCTATAGGGAGAAGGTCAGTGATCTGGTAGTGTTGTGCCAGGACAACAACCTCTCCCTCAATGTCAGCATGACAAAGGAGCTGATCCTGGACTACAGGAAATGGAGGGCCCAGCACGCCCCCATCCACATCGACAGTGCTGTAGTGAAGCGGGTCGAAAGCTTCAAGTTCCTCGGTGTCCATATCACTAAGGAATTATCATGGTCCACACACAACAAGAAAGTCATGAAGAAGGCACGGCAACGCCACTTTCCCCTCAGAAGGTGTTATGGTGTGGGGGTGCTTTGCTGGTGACACTGTCTGGGATTTATTTAGAATTCAAGGCACACCACAACATTCTGCAGTGATACGCCATCCCATCTGGTTTGCGCTTATTGGGACTTTCATTTGTTTTTCAACAGGACAATGACCCAACACACCTTCAGGCTGTGTAAGGGCTATTTGACCAAGAAGGAGAGTGATGGAGTGCTGCATCAGATGACCTGGCCTCCACAATCACCTGACCTCAACCCAATTGAGATGGTTTGGGATGAGTTGGACCGCATAGTGAAAGAAAAGCAGCCAACAAGTACTCAGCATATGTGGGAACTCCTTCAAGAATGTTGGAAAAGCGTTCAAGGTGAAGCTGGTTGAGAGAATGCCAAGTGTGCAAATATATATTTTGATTTGTTTAACACTTTTTTGGTTACTACATGATTCTAACATGATATGTGTTATGTCATAGTTTTGATGTCTTCACTATTATTCTACAATGTAGAAAATAGTAAAAATAAAGAAAAACCCTTGAATGAGTAGGTGTGTCTCAACCTTTGATTGGTACTCCATATTAAAATACAAAAACACTGTCATGGGAAGCACAAATAAAATATTACAAACCAGCCAGAAAAACAGTTACATTCCTCCACAAATACATCCCCAATCAATACTTTAAATTGCCCGAACGGCAACAGAAAATCAAGACGAAATGTGTTTTGAATTTTTTCCAACAATACGGTGCATTAAAACAATTTGATGGCAGGATCATGTTTACTGCTAATTTAGTGCATTTAGGCAGGGGTCGTCAACCTTTTCTTGCCCAGGGACCCCTGCCCAGGCAAACCGTCTTATCTTCAGGTGAATGATAATGGCAAGGATAATTAATCAACATTTTAAAATGAATAAATTGAATAGATGGTTTTTCATTATTTTGACCTCCCCACATTGTAATTGGAAGAGGAAGTAAACTCTAACAAAAAATAGCAGCTGTTTACTTGGTTAAACAAAGGTTAGCCATGTGTTGGCAAAAATGTATGTAAAAGTCAAGAAAGCTTACCAGCAAGTAGCGTCACTGGCCGCGACTCGTTGGTGCTTTTTGAAAGCCTATGTCAGATACTCCAATGAGTGTAATTAGCTACAATGAGTGTACTTTTCTCAATATTAGGAGTTGAGAAATAATATGTTATCTTTTCTATTGTAGGTATGTAATTCAAGATGTGTTTATTCTGTTGTTGCTAGCGATATTCAGAATGTCTCTAGCAACAACTACCAGGTTGAGACCCATGCATTAAGGTATCAAATTCAGGTCTTACATCAGGTTGTCACACAATGTCACGCCCTGGCTCTGGGGACTCTTATATGTTGAGCCAGGGTGTGGAGTTTCTATGTGTTATTTTCTATGTTGTGTTCTAGTTCGTGTTTTCTATGTTGGCCAGGGTGGTTCCCAATCAGAGGCAGCTGATTCTCGTTGTCTCTGATTGGGAACCATACTTAGGCAGCCTGTTGGCACTTTTGTTTTGTGGGATCTTGTTCCGGAAGGTTTGTGTATTTAACCTAGGACTTCACGTATCGTTTATTGTTTTGGTTCGTTGTGTGTACACTAATAAAATTATGTATGCCTATCACGCTGCGCCTTGGTCCGCTTCATAATGTGTCAACGATCGTGACAGAAGATCCCACCTCGACTGGATCAAGCAGCGTGACGAGGAGAGAGGATGGACTTGGGAGGAGATGAGTGCGAGTCTGGCAAGAGGGATGGAGGCCTTGAGCACGGGGGAGAGACAAGCCCAATACATTTTTAGGGGGGGGCTCACACCGTGGACGGCGAGGCAGCGGGAGGCCGCAATAGAGCGGTTCGGCAGGTTTGCAGAGGAGGCCGCCAGGTTACGGGGGCCACTGGTCACGAGGGAGAAGGAGAGTGTAGAGGCACGGTGAGAGGTACTGGGGTGTGTTACCAGTCCGGTCCGGCCCGTTCCTGATCCCCGCACAAGGCCAGTGGTGTGTGTTCCCAGTACGGTCCGGCCTGTTCCTGTCCCTCGCACCAAGCCTGTGGTGCGCGTCGCCAGCCCAGTTCGGCCTGTTCCTGCTCCCCGCACCAAGGCTGTGGTGCGCGTTGCCAGCCCGGTCCGGCCTGTTCCTTCTCCCCGCACCAAGCCAGTGGTGCGCGTCGCCAGCCCGGTCCGGCCTGTTCCTGCTCCCCGCACCAAGCCAGTGGTGCGCGTCAACAGCCCGGTCCGGCCTGTTCCTGCTCCCCGCACCAAGCCTGTGGTGCGCGTCATCAGCCCGGTCAGGCCCGTTCCTGCTCCCCGCACCAAGCCAGTGGTGCGCGTCGTCAGCCCGGTCCGGCCTGTTCCTGCTCCCCGCACCAAGCCAGTGGTGCGCGTCATCAGCCCGGTCCGGCCCGTTCCTGCTCCCCGCACCAAGCCAGTGGTGTGCGTCGTCAGCCCGGTCCGGCCCGCTCCCCGCACCAAGCCAGTGGTGCGCGTCGTCAGTCCGGCATGGTCCGTGCCTGTTCCACCTGTGCCTGGTCTGGCACCGGTCAGCTGCTCCACACCGGAGCCAGAGCAATCCGCTCCACCGGTGTTCAGTCCAGCTCCGGCCAGCAGGGCCAGACCACGAGGGCGAGAGAGAGAGTGGTGGTCACGCCCGGAGCCGGATCCGCCTCCGAGGCGGAATGCCCACCCGGCCCCTCCCCTGTTGGGTTTAGTTGGCACGGTCGCAGTCCGGGGTACTGTCACGCCCTGGCTCTGGGGACTCTTATATGTTGAGCCAGGGTGTGGAGTTTCTATGTGTTATTTTCTATGTTGTGTTCTAGTTCGTGTTTTCTATGTTGGCCAGGGTGGTTCCCAATCAGAGGCAGCTGATTCTCGTTGTCTCTGATTGGGAACCATACTTAGGCAGCCTGTTGGCACTTTTGTTTTGTGGGATCTTGTTCCGGAAGGTTTGTGTATTTAACCTAGGACTTCACGTATCGTTTATTGTTTTGGTTCGTTGTGTGTACACTAATAAAAGTATGAACGCCTATCACGCTGCGCCTTGGTCCGCTTCATCATGTGTCAACGATCGTGACACACAAGCTCTACAGTAGTTCCCACCTCATGCATTAACTAAAGTTGTCACGATCGTTTACGAACGAGAAGGACCAAGGCGCAGCGTGATATGCATTCATATTTATTAACGACTAAACACACGACAAAACAACAAACGAAACGTGAAGTCCAAGGTAGCATACAAACAACATACCTTACACGGAACATGATCCCACCACTAACAGGTGCCAAAAGGCTGCCTAAGTATGGTCCCCAATCAGAGACAACGATCTACAGCTGCCTCTGATTGGGAACCACCCCTGCCAACATAGATCTACACATTCTAGATCTAACACATAGAAAACAACATAGCAAACACAACACAGAAAATACACACCCTGACTCAAATAATACAAGTCCTCAGAGTCAGGGCGTGACAAAAGTACATATGTGTTTAGGATCTGAACACAATTAATGACTCAGGCTATGTTTCTCAAACCACCCTGGATCCCCTTTGATCACCTAGAACTGAACCTGTAGAAAAGTGGAGACAACACATCTTCTGGTCTAATACCCCGTCTTCACTGCAAATAGTTCTCGGGCCCCTGATTTATAGAATTGTGATGTAATGGCATCATGCAACTGTTGCGAGGAAACCCATCAGCTCCTAGCAACTATCGTAGCAAGCTGATGAAAGCATGAAACATTAGGAAGGAAGGAATCAATCATCAGCGCTTCACAATCCAACCAATTCAAGAATCAGTCCAGTCTGGGCTGATTAAAATCCTGCAGATTGTGTTGTCTGTACAAGGAAATGAAAGACAGTCAGGCTTGGAGTGCCTACTGATTTTAATGACCTGGGAGCTTGTCTCTAATATGCTGATTGGATTTGCTATTGATTATGTTTTCAACTTGTGTAATGGCCCAGTTTTGGTGATTGCTATTGTACTGCAGTGCAGATTGAACTTGGCAACAGGGAGTCATGGGAACATTTAATCATGTCTAATGGAACAAGAGAATCATAGCCTTTACTCAAACACATCGCATTTCCCCAAAATGTACCGTAGCTCATACTACAGTAGCCTACATCTCTGCAAATACATAAGGCTGTTGGAGAAGGGTTATAAATGTATATTTCAAGTGCAAATACTGTAATGAAACCAATCTATTTTGTTGGCATTGCACTTTCCAAAACACATTCCACATTTATGCAGTCACACTCCAGCGCGATATAGTTCCTGATTCTTCTATTCTGCTTAATTGAACCCATTAAATGGTATGACCCTGTATTTGTGTATTCAGCAGGCACTGCATTACATGGTCTCTTGTGAAGTGATATTTGACTAATCAAAGTTCCTGGCAGAGTTTGGAACTTACCACAGAAATGTTTATAGCCCTGCAATCTGGGAATACATTTTGGGCTCCATGTTTCTCACCCCTGCATGCAAAATAACCATAGTATTTTAAGTAGATGTAATGGCACATCATCCAAGACATGTCGGAATACAACAACTAGCGATTGCATCTGTGAGTTCATAAACAATCAGAGTGTGTGTGGGAGTAGGTTATGGTAAACAAGGAAATCTTATTCTTACTTGTGCACTTTTTGATGCTGGATCCTTTCTTCAGAGCGTGTCGACTGAGTTTGCACTGAAAGTTGTTTTCCCAGAACTCTGCAAACCAAATATTCCTTCTGTTGTTATCCAAAGTTCTGCTGATAAAGTAGCGATCAAACCCTAGAGAGATCAATGAGAGGCACAGTTGGATTTAGAGCCACCAGCTGAACTACTGCAGAGATGTGTATTGGATTTTCTGATTACTTTATCAACACGTTTTTTTCAGCACTACCTCCACATAGTACTACTTTCATCTTACAGGTGTTCCTATATCCTGCTGTTGTTTACAGTATATGTCAGTGTTTTATATGGAAATATCAGGGTATTTGAATTGCATTGTCAAAGACAACAAAAAATAGACACAACGTGTGTCATTTAAATTTGACAATAAAGAATATAGACATCATATTCTGTATAACATCAGTACCTCGGATGGACTGCCGTTTAGGTAGGATGGTAACAGCACCTTCTGCCATCTCCTCCTGGTTCAGTATGGGGGAGATCTTAGACCCCCAGCTGTCTGATCCCACCCAGATGAAATGTCCTGTCTGGTTGTCCTTCTTAGCTGCTTGAAGAAGCCGCCTGCAGGAGGGGCAAAGAGAGAATACAATACAATTCTTGCCATTTATATACATAATTCACCTACTCATGGGGCTGGATGATTATTTAAATACGTTGTGTTGGTACTGGACATGAACAGAAGCCTAACTGCACACATCGTGGGTCAATTGCAGGACCAGCACAACACACTAAAGAAGAACCCTGTTTGAACCACTGCTCCCCTCCCTGCCTGTGACAGAGTGTCCCCTCTGGTGTTGTGTGCATGGTGCAGGCTAGCGAACACCCATCCCTGCCTGCCAGTGCTGCTACATTACTCCAGGTTTGGTCCCTCCCTGGTAATAGAGCTAATTAAGAAGCAACCAGGATGAGCCAGCCAGCGTTCCCTGCTGTTCCACCAGGCTCTGTATTCATCACTCCTTCTGCTGCCCCTAGGACCATGTACAGGAAGCACAGTCATTATAACAGGACCACAGTACTGGAAACACAGTCGCTACGACAGCCAGGTACAATAACAATACAGTGTATCCCGAAGTCACTCTGCCACCCCTTTGCCTCATCAATCAACCCAGAATGAAGAGACAGAGTAATGCATGTTTGAGTTATAATGACTTTTCTCCTACCTCACACTGAATAAACATGGTTTATTCTGAGCCCCAGCTTTCCCATATAGCTTTACAGGAGAATATGTATGTAACAAAACCTACAGTATACTAATGTCATGTCAGATGCTCTTTTTTTGACTCACTTGGAGAAGGACTTGTCTGTCAAGTGTCAATTGCAACCCCCCCTTGAGGTCATTTACATAACAATCTTGTTTATCACATAAACACCAAGTGTTCTCATCATGGTGTGAGTCATTTAGTGAGGAAAGGTTGGCATGACAATCTATGGCATGTCAGAAATTACTCAATTACATACTGAAGGTCTATGTTTAGGACAAAATGCATGATGGCACTAACATCCTTCTCCTAGCTTTCTGCTAGCCTGAGTGCTGAAAACTCAGAATATACAGCACCAGTCAAAAGAATGGATACTGTTGCACTAGCCTTCGCTTTGGCTCCCCCTCCTGTCCAGCTCAGGAGTTCGGCGTCGCCGGCCTTCTAGCTGCTGCCGAACCTGCTGCTGGAAAACGCCCTTCACTCATCAACCCCGGACTCCCTCTGTCATTTGTCTTTGTCGGTCATTGTTGTACCAATTTGTAAGTCGCTCTGGATAAGAGCGTCTGCTAAATGATGTAAATGTAAATGTATATGTTGCTTGTTTTCCTGAGAGGAATCTCTCCTACTATTTCCTGAGTACTTTATATTTGGCACTGTGGGTTTCGTCCCGCTTTAAGCTATGGTACTTTAATAAATTCAGTAGTTCTAAACCTGCGACTGCCTCCTGCCTACTCCTCTCTACACTTGTGACAGAATGACCGACCCAAGAAAACAGGAGGCTGCAGGACATCCCGAACTCTCCGCTGTAGGAGCGAAGCACGACTCGTGCCTGGAGCACTTCGGGACTGCCATGGACGAGGTGATCCAGACCGTACGCCAACTGCAGGCTACACCTCCACCTTCCCAGTTCCTCACAGTCGTTCCAGCCACCCCACCACCATCTACATCACCCGGTCCGATCAGCAACGTCCACCTGCCACTCCAGGATGCGGTTTTACGGCACCCCAGCTCACTATAGGGGGTTTCTCCTGCAGTGTGACCTCCACCTTGCACGTCATGCCGGGACGGCCTCCGAGAGGGACAAGGTGGCCTTGGTGATTTCAGTGCTGACAGGCCGGGCTCTGGAGTGGGCACACACCGTCTGGGAGAGGGACGGTCCAGGAGTACAGTCCAATGAGCGCGTCACCCAACTCTTCCGTGCCGTTTTCGACCACCCAAACGAGGGCCGAGAGGGAGGTGAGCGTCTCCTCCATCTGCGCCAGGGGTCCAGGACAGCGTCTGAGTACGCTCTGGATTTCCGGACGGTGGCTGGAACGACTAGGCCTTGTTGACGGTTTTCCGCAGTGGGCTACAGGCGGACGTCCAGACCGAGCTGGCCTGTCACGATGAGGATCTCATGCTGGACCAGCTCATTGCCATGGCCATCCGCCTGGATAATCTCCTGCGTGCCCGTCGTCGCCCATCCCAGGGGTTCGGGTCTCTCCCAGGAACCTGCAGTGAGACTGAGCCCATGGAGGGGACCCCAACAGGGTCTCTGCGGGAAGTCGGACCACTCCTGGAACACCTGTCACAGAAGGAGAACCAGGCGAGGAAGTGACAGGCCGAGGAGCGCTCCTGCACCTTCCCAGGTAGGCGTGGACGTGCCTTGCTCCTCTCTGTCCACCCAGCCCGTCCTCCTCCCTGTCACCTTCCCGGACTATCCTGGTCCCCCACTGAGTCCTGCCCTAGTGGACTCAGGTGCTGCAGGCTATTTCCTAGACCAGTCAGTGGCCTTATCATTACGCATTCCTCTAGTCCCTTTACAACCCCCTATCCCAGTCCATGCCCTAGACAACCGTCCCCTAGGAACAGGACCAGTGAGCCAGACCACAATCCCAATTTCCCTCACATTTGATCACAACCCCCATGAACGCATCACGTTCCTCATCGTAGACTCTCCTGCACACAGTTTTAGGTCTCCCCTGGTTACAGTTGCATAACCCCAGTATATTGTGGACAGAGAGGAGGTTGTTGGGTTGGTCGCAGGAATGTCAGGGGAGGTGTCTCTCGGTGTCTATCTGTGCCACCTCCGTGGAAAGTCCGGTCCAGGCCACCCACATCCCTATCCCGGAGGAATACTGGGACCTACAGGTGGCCTTTTCGAAGACTTGTGCAACGTGCCTGCCCCCTCATCGCCCATGGGAATGCACTATCGACCTACTGCTGGGTTCTACCCTCCCGCGGGGGCACATCTACCCTCTCTCGCATGCAGAGACCGAAGTCATGGAGGTCTACATCCTAGAGGCGCTGACCTCTCCGGCCTCTTCCAGCTTATTTTTCATGAAGAAGAAGGACAGAGGTCTCCGCCCCTGTATAGATTACCGGACACTGAATAAGGCTACAGTTAAATTCAGTTATCCCCTGCCTCTCATACCAACTATGATCGAACAGATGCACGGTGCAAAGTACTTTACTAAATTAGATTTACGCAGTGCCTACAACCTGGTGCGCATCAGAGAGGGGGATGAATGGAAGACCGCCTTCAGCACCAGCACCGTGCACTACGAATACAGGGTAATGCCCTACAGCCTGACAAATGCACCCTTGGTGTTCCAATCCTTCATTAACAAGGTGTTTAGAGACATGTTGGTTCGCTCTGTAGTGGTGTAAATAGATGACATCTTGGTGTACTCCAAAACACGCGAGCAACTTGTCGCTCATGTCAGGTCCGTTTTGGAGAGGCTGATAGGGCATCACCTGTACGCCAAGGTGGAGAAGTGCCTTTCTTCCAGCAGGCGGTCTCCTTCCTGGGCTATCAGATATCCACCATGGGCTCCTGAGTGGCGCAGTGGTCTAAGGCACTGCATCGCAGTGCTAACTGTGCTACTAGAGATCCTGGTTCGAATCCAGGCTCTGTCGCAGCCGGCCGCGACCGGGAGACTCATGGGCGGTGCACAATTGGCCCAGCGTCGTCCAGGGTAGGGGAGGGAATGGCCGGCAGGGATGTAGCTCAGTTGATAGAGCATGGCGTTTGCAACGCCAGGGTTGTGGGTTCGTTTCCCATGGGGGGCCAGTATAAAAAAAAAAAAAAAATGTATTCACTAACTGTAAGTCGCTCTGGATAAGAGCGTCTGCTAAATGACTAAAATGTAAATGTATGGGAGTGGAGATGGAAGAACAGAGGGTCAGTGCAGTAAGGTCGTGGCCTGTTCCCTCCAACATCAAGGCGGTGCAGTGCTTCCTAGGTTTTGGCAACTATTTCAGGTCCTTCATTAGCGGTTTAAGCACAGTGGTGGCCCCTCTCACCTCCCTCCTGAAGGGAGGTCCTCGACAGCTGTGCTGGACTGGGAAGGCCAACGAAGCCTTTCAGGCGCTCAAGGAACAGTTTACGAACGCACCGGTTCTGGCTCACCCTGACTCTCTCTGCCCCTCATCGTGGAGGTGGATGCCTCCGAGGTTGGAGTAGGGGCTGTTCTCTACCAACGTACTGGATCGCCACCTAAACTTCATCCATGCGCCTTCTACTCACGGAAGCTGTCTCCCGCGGAGCGGAATTATGACGTGGGGGATCGTGAGTTGTTGGCAATCAAGAAGGAGCTGAAGGCAAGGCGGTACTGGTTGGTGGGTGCTCAACACCCATTCCTTGTCTGGAAGGACAACCGGAACCTAGAGTACATTCGAGCAGCGAAGAGGATGAACCCGCCTCAGGCCAGGTGGTCCCTATTCTTCACCAGGTTTGACTTTACCCTCTCCTACTGGCCGGGATCTAAGAACGCTAAGGCCGATGCGTTGTCCTGAGTGCATGACACAGAAGATCGGAGGGAGGAAGTGACACCCATTATTCCCCTGTCCCACACTGTGGCTCCTGTCGTGTGGAATGTGGATGCAGACATCCGTCGAGCCCTGCGACAGGAGCACTCACCTGCCCACTGTCCCGAGGAGCGTATCTACAGTTGAAGTCGGAAGTTTACATACACCTTAACCAAATACATTTAAACTCAGTTTTTCACAATTCCTGGTCAGTTAGGATCACCACTTTATTTTAAGAATGTGAAATGTCAGAATAATAGTAGAGAGAATGATTTATTTCAGCTTTTATTTCTTTCATCACATTCCTAGTGGGTCAGAAGTTTACATACACTCAATTAGTATTTGGTAGCATTGACTTTAAATTGTTTAACTTGGGTCAAACGTTTCGGGTAGCCTTCCACAATAAATTGGGTAAATTTTGGCCCATTCCTCCTGACAGAGCTGGTGTAACTGAGTCAGGTTTGTAGGCCTCCTTGCTCGCACACGCTTTTTCAGTTCTGCCCACAAATTTTCTATAGGATTGAGGTCAGGGCTTTGTGATGGCCACTCCAATACCTTGACTTTGTTGTCCT